AGATACTCTATAAGGTATTAATATCTATAAATAAAAATTGTATTTTATTTTAAATTCAGATGTTTTATAGAATAGGTGGGCAATATAAGAAATAAGCTTCATTAATGATTAGTAATTATTAATTTTTTAATATCGGAGTTGTGGCGTTAAGAAAAATTTGTTATATTGTTCTTTTTGATCTTATTTTATTTTTTTATTGTTTTTATTTATTTATCTTGTTAGCTGTGTCATTATCTGCTACTGTAACGGGAAATTTTAATATTAGACCCAGTGTAAATGCTGATTATAGCAAGAAGTTGCGGGAAAGAACGCTACTGGCTGCAAAACCTGAAAGAACAATAAGGTTCCTTGAAGAAAATGAAAACCGTGGTGCTTATGTTCCGCCCGGTGATCAGTCTGCAGTCAATAAATTCAGCAGCTTAGTCGTATGTATTTGCTTTTTTTTGATATTAGTATGTTTATATTTTATAAGCTTTTTTTTTTTTCTTTAGCCTAAAAAACCGAAAGTTACGATGGAACAAAAGACGACACGTATACCGAAGAATGAGCTCATAGATTCGCTTTTTGGTGCTTTCGAAAAATATGCATATTGGACATTTAAAGGCCTTAAAGATTATGTAAAGCAACCGGAGGTAATAATAGTCATGACATGAAAAGTCTTTCTTGATTTACCAATATTAATTTGAAATTAAATTATTATGAAAGTCTTATCTCAAAGAGGTGTTGAATGAAATAGCAATTTTGGACAAGAAAGGTCATTACAACAACTGTTATCATCTAAAACCTGAATATAGTCAAAATATATCTGCGGAAACTGTATCTGTGGCTCCCCAGGGTGTAGAGGCACCCCTGGAAAGCGTGAGCAACGAAGAAGAATATAGTTTTGAAGCACCTGAAAATGATGAATTTGAGGCAGGGGTGTCGGATGAAGATCTATCTGATGATTAATTTGTATGGATGACATAAAAAATAATCTTGATTGAATATAAATAATTATCTTTAGTGACATAACAAAACGAATTATATATATAGTGTATACAGCTAAGGCTTTTTTTGAAGCTATTAGATATATTTAGTGTACCTTTATAGATAAGGTAAGTTTAAATTCGCTGAGGAATTAATAACACTTGGTTTATGTAGCTTTTACACTTCTAGATTTATTTTTATGATTAAAAGTATTTGCTAACATTATTTTATATTATTTAGTTTAGGATTTAAATAAAAAAGCATTTTTATATCAAGAGTTGTTATATATACGTATAATGATTTATTATAGAAGTTTAATAGTATTTAATTTAAGAGGTTCGCAAATGGTAATTATTAGCAATAATTTGATTAATTTATTATTTATAGTTTAATGAATAGGATTTCACCTTTTGTACTACCTGTAGTACAGTTAAATAAAATAAATTAAAAATCCAGAAAAATATAAATGCAAATAATTTTTATATACAAAAATCTGATAATTGCTTTAATATAGTTTAATATAATTTTTTTTTATAATTAATAATAAAATTAGTGAGAAAAAAATTTTACATTTTGGTGTATTATTAGTAGTACATTATTAAAATTAATTTAAAATTTAAATTATAAATTTATTTTCAAACTTATAGTTAAAAAATTATTATTGTTTTTTTTTTTAAAGTAACTTTTTGGTTGCAATTTTTTTATTTAATTATAGTTTAACTTTTACAGTATGATATATATATACTATATACATATTTGAAGGGTTAACTAGTTATATATACAACTTTTGGTTGCCTATTTAAGTAGTTTACTTATTACTTAGTTTTATACTAGATGCTATACCTATAATCTAACTAGGGATTATTTATTTTTATTTTATTTTTTTTTAACTAACTAGCCTTCTTGGGCTAAGGTCTTTATTCAAACATTGTTGAGTTTGGGGATTTGTGGCTTAACACCTCATGAAATCCCATATATTAGAGAGTATATTCTAGTTATACCTGTGCTTTTTGAGCATCTAATTAAGTAGTTTGCCTATTATTAGACTCTACACTAGATGCCGAATCTGTAACCCAACTATGAGATTACCTATTTAAACCCTC